TGTGGTGCTGGAACAATACAGAGTTGGTCCTCGTTACAACTGTGAATTCTGGCCATGTGGCGACTGAAGTGGAGTAGTCTTCTATCATCCACCTAGAGACCCAGTCAGAACAAGACACTTTCTGCTTGGATTCGCTCAGTTCAGCAGACATCTTCGCAGTCAAAAACCCAGGAATAACCAGTGAGCCCTAGCGCGCTCGTCCAGTTTCATTTGCATCCGAGTTTTCAGTATATGGTCCAGACGACGCATCCAGTCAAGATCTCCGCGGACGAACAAAAAGACTAAAGAGCCACTATACTAGGATTTCCTGTAGGATGATTGCATGGACAGAAGTTACCGTCGTAACGAGGACCAACTCCGTATTACGCCAGCACCACACCAAAGGAATATCTAGGTGCTAGAATGTCCAGTAGGATGCTTGCAGTCTGCTGGGGGTAGTAAACTCGCTTGCGTTTGCAGCAGATGAAGATCCCCACTAACCCAACAAGTTGTAATCTTACTAGGTTTTGACCAAATTATTTTATTATATGTCAAGATGCATTTGGAACTACACGTAAAACCTTTAAGTTTAAAAATTAAGTATTAGTAAAACAATGGTATTTTTTATTTAATACATGTACAACTTAAAAAAATGGTATAGAAAAATTAAAAAAATAATCTAAAGTTTCTGGTACAAGTCATGTACTTATATGTAAAATCCAGAGCTTCACCGCGCTAGCACGGCATTAGTATAATAATCTAAAAAGCGATCTTAATGAAGCCAAGCCTTTAGCACATGCTGATAATAGCTGTTAGAGGAAAACTTTTTAAAGTCGCGTTAGTCAGCTCCTACGAATGCAATGCACACAGTATTACTGTAGTAAACTAACCCTCCACAATACTTTCGACGTCAGTCCTAAAGATGTTTTAAAATCTCGAAACTCCTAAACAATGATTCTCTCAACTTGCCTGTGCTCAAAGCGGAGCTCATTGCTGGTCTTGTCTTCGCAAATACCGGTAGTCCAGCTTCGAGGGTACCTCGCGCGGTTTGCTTTGGCTACGCACGCTCCACCCACTCACCTGGACCTTAGTAACATCAAATCAAAATTAAGGATATTTTGGGAAATGTCAAGAGCCCCTGTCCTTCCAGACCAAAGCATCGCCTCTAGTCATAATGCCACTGCTATTAATAGTTAATTTTGAACAAGACTCCTGATGGCTAATGACGACGACGATGACGACGACGGGAGGGGGGGGCTGTTGCTGATACAACACAGCATTAAGCAGCGTCAACAGCTGCGCATCGACAACAGCATGTCAACAATGTAGTCAACCAAAAAAAAAAAAACCAATCACTAAGATCTAGCGTACAGTGTATTTATTAATAAATGAAGAATACAGGTTAGGTTCGCTGATTAGTCTTGATACGAGACTAATCAGCTATCCTAATTGCTACTAAGTTTCCTATGTTCGTGTAGCTTCAACAAGCTCATTCTGCGTGTGCTTTGCAGCAAACCCAATCTGACTTTTGGTTCCAAGGTCATTCATTCACTTCTCTTTTTTCTCACACCCGTTCAAGTTCTTCTTCCCACATTCAAGAGAGAACCTGCAATGCGCCTGATCTCCTTCCTTCTCGTCGCTGCAGCTGCATTGTTTACTGACTGCAACGGTGTCCCAACTGCAAGTCTGACCAAACTATCGGGTAATGCCGTGCAACCGATAAACGTGGCTTCGGAGAAGAGTGTGAAGTCCTTGCGAAGCGAGAGTCGGAAATCTACCGACATCGAAAACTCCGAAGATGAAGAGAGAGTTATCAAGGTTGGTCTTGTTGACGACGCGGTAAAGAAACTCGGTGGAGCCGACGACGCCGCGAAGAAACTACTTGTTAACGACAATGTTGTGGCTGAGAGATTGGCCGCTGAGGCTAAAGCTATCGACGACCTCGTTGATTGGTGGACGACACTCAAGTTGACACCCAAACAAATTAAAAGTACAGTCACCAAATCACCGGTCAGAGATAAGGCACTCAAGCAGTACCTTGCGCAGATTATGAGAGAGAAGTACGCACTGAACCCACGCGTAAGGACGAAAACGATTGCCAGGCCCTAAGTGACTCCGATCGGAAAGCCACGACGATCGTTGGCTGGTGGTCTTGGCACAACTTTGAGAAGCACTATGTCTGAAACGACACCCATATTCGATAAATTGATAGCCCTCCGCTCTAATACCGACCAAACACGCAAGCGTCCGTTTCTTTTACTTGCCCATGGTTGGTTAACTGTCTGCGATTCTTTTTTCTTTTTTTTTTAGTTTTGATGGACTTTTCTTCTTAGTTAAGGCGACATTTTACACGGAATCGTCGACCTGATGTCGCTGACCGCCCTGGAGTTAAAAACACAGTTGACAGCTTGTGAACACAACAAAGAGGCTAGATGCATTCTTCACAGTTCCGAGGTAAATGTAGATGGGAACGATATATCTGATAAAAAGCTCGACTTCCACGATTTAAGTCTCAACTCTCATGACGCTCGACTACATGTAGAGCCCGTCGATTAATTTTGCTAATATTCGTGGTTTCGCGCAGCGCTGCGGCTAAGACAAAACGTATACTGTCATGTCAGATTTGTTTGGTTGGTGATGGCGGAAGAGCCTGAGAGCTTAGGAGGATGACAAAGGAAATTGCGGTTCATCTCAGCGATGTCAATTTAGTAAGATATGTTTCAGGTAAAAGAGTTTCGCAAGACTGACAGCACGTACTGTCCTCGATATTAACGCTAGAAGCAAATAGAATTTTGAACGAGGCCTTGTCCGTATACTTGTATTTCGATCGTAAAATCTGAACGCACATTTAAATCTACTGACCACTAGTATACTTGTGTTTGTTGGCCTTGTAGAAGTCCTTGTACCTGTACCAAACCTGCGCGTCCGGGTTTTTCGTCCATGTTGCTTTCTCCATATTGAGCATTTTCCAAATGACGTTCTGCTTCTTCCCGTCCCGCATCCACTGAATAAATTGCGCGGTTTGGAACTGGGTCGCTACTTTTTCAGTATTCGGTACATGTCTCGCAGCCTCAAGCATTTTGGCCAGTTTTTCATCCCCATAAAACCGTGTAAATGTCTTGATCATTGTCGTCCCGTGTCCAGTATTCGCCGCGTTGAACTGACCCAAATAGGTAATCCAAATAATTAGATTTGGGTTCGTGAGCAGTGTATCCACGTCTGCATTAAGTTTTAGCATCTTGAAGGCATTGTCGGGTGAGATTTTGTTCCTGATCCACGTGCTAAATAGTGTCGTTTGCAGATCCGTTGCAATGTTTTCAGTTTGTGGCACCTTTTTAGCAGCCTCGAGCGCTTTAACCAGATCTACATCATCGTAGAACTTTGTCAAAGTCTGTATCACTGTTGTCTCTTGTCCAGGATGCTTAGCGTTAAATTTGCCAACGTAGGAGAGCCACGTCTCCAGTTTCGGGTTGGCGAGTAATTTATCCACGCCGTCATCAAGTTTTAACACCTTGAAATATTCTTCCGGAGAAAGCGTCTTTTGCGGCCGATTCTTCGCCCACGCAGTCTCCAGCCACACCTTCACAAACCTCATACGTTTAACTCTCGGGTTGGCTTCCCGGAAGATCTTGGCTATTGCTTCGTCGCCGTAATGAGCTGTCAATACAGACGCTATCGTCGCACTGGCATCGTCCTTCTTTAACATAGTCACATAGTTGTACCAAGTGTTCAACTGTGGGGTCACGAAGAGTTTATCCCCCGCCTGTTCGAGCTTAAGTAGTACGAAGATATCATCCGCACTCTTGCCCGCAGCCTGCCAGTTTTCTCGCTGCTGGCGAGCTAACACGGCTGCCATTTTCCATTGTTTTCTTTGGTTCAGCGCCACTTCTAGCATTCCAGATAGTTTTAAATCTCCGTAAGTATTGGTGAGGATTCCAGCCATCGACACTTCCTTGCTGGGATTCTTCTTGTTGTACAGACTCACATACGTCGCCCAAGCGTAGAACTTGCGATTGGCCAGAATCTTGTCCAGTCCTCCATCCAGCTTTAATTGTTTAAAAACACTCTCTACGGACTGTTTCCTCCAGAGCCAATACCGGGCTCGAGCGCTGTTTGTGACCTTCAATCCCATCGATTTGACCCAATTGGTGAACAGAGAAACACTGGGCACAGGAACAGGAAGAGCTCGCTCTTCGTCATAGCTTCTTCTCAAGCTTTTCGGTGCATGAGTTTCATATTGGGTAGAAGACGGCGAGCGGAGCAACGACTGGAGGTCTGGTACTCTGGTTTCCGCGACGACATCGCCATTTGCCAGAAGACTTGCAATTAGCAGCACAAGGACTAGGACGAAGCGCATGCTTGCAATGGACTATTAATAGGCAAGATGCCTCAAGCCACCGGTTCGACTTAAAACTTCGAGAGCGAATTGCCAAGTGGGAAAGAATCACACTTGCACGGTGCCACCGCACTGGTCAGGACACGGACAGTCCTTGCTAGAACACATCGCTGAATTAGTTTCTGGAACTGGATCAAAATTCTAATAATTCGTTTTCTGTACTGCCTAATCCCATCGGCCCGATCATCAGTGATGGTGATTGACTGGTAAAGACGATCCCCTCGCCAGTCTTAGCGCTCGAAGCCCCCAATGTATTCCCGTCTGAGGGCATTGATCCATGAATGTACCACAAAAATGGATCTGAGTACCTTTAGCTTGGAAATGTGCACAGAATTATTACTGGAGACAATTGATGTGGCTTGTTAATGGTGTTTTATCCTGGTTTGCTATCCTATTGCCAGCATTCAGTGGCTGCTGTACAAATATGCTACCACCGTGCTCATATCCCTAATTTGTCCCAAACAGAACTAGATTCATGGGCTTTCAGGTTCTACGATCTTCCTCTGGTTCCATCACAAGCAATGTCCATGTAGCTATTAATGCGCAGAGAAGCGCTGGAGTCACCTCCGGTCTCGCAGTTGGCCACAGAATTGCGGCGCCCAATGCGCACCCTAAACCCGACAAGTTTTTTGCCAGCTGGATCTCCTGTTATAAGGAGAAGGGTCTCACCGTCACGGATGAGGCAATTAGACTGAAGGCAGAACACTTCTCCGTGGTCCTAAAGCTCGAGTAACGTCCAAAGTGTAGGCTTTATCGGTTCCACATTCTTCTGCAGTTAGGACTGCTTCCATAGTTAATTAAGCACCCCATCATCGGAATATTTGACTTCAAATGATTTCCATTTTACAACTGAGGGGTGAGAGAGAATAATATCTTGGGTTTCTAAAGCCAACCCAAAGATTGAATCAACTTGAGTTTGCGGTAGTACTACTCTAATAACTTACAATCTGAACCGTTCGATTGTTCTTGGTGCTGCCGTATTATGATCGGCACCCCGAATTGTATACAGTCGTCCTTCCCCGTACTCGCCACCACCGTAG